ATCTATCAAAACGTTCCTTTCAATTAGCATAATGCAAAAAGAAAGCCAAAATACAAGAAGGCAAATAGTCTTTGTTTTGTTTCTATGACAGCTATCAATTTATGCCACTTACATAACAACGGATTGTCAAGGCAACCAAAAACAAAAGTGAAGAGTTTTATGCATAGATTTTAAAGAATTTTTTTTTTATATGTATATTGGTGGAGTATATGTAAATGTGAATGGGAGCAGAGTTATTTGCTTGGCAGTGGTTGGAGAACACAAATAATATGTTTTTAGAGATAAGATAATAATATTTATATCTATATTATATAAATATAAATATATAAATATTATTTTCTTTTAACAGTGCAACTAATAAGAATTTAGCCACCTTAGACATGAGTATTTTATTATATAAATAATAAAAAAGTAAATACATATATAGAAATATATATAAATAAATATATATAGACATGCACATGTTTTAAGAAAATGAATTCATTCTTTGGCAACTTCAAAGGTATATGAATTTGTTGTCTGAAATTCCCTAGAAATATATATATATATATTTTTTTTTTACTCAAAAGCAACTTAAATGAGCTCAAATTAATTTCCATTTTGCAATATTTATTTCAATAATAAGATTAAAAGTATGTTGCTTAATAAAAAATAAATAAGAGAAATATAATTCTTCATATGCATATATTATTTCTTATTCAACAGCAGCTACTGATAGGCTTTAAATAATAATAGGACTTTTATATAATGTATATTAAACTACTTATAGATAAATATATTGGAATATTTGTATTAATACTCTAGAAATAATTTAAGACTTTCCCAGTTAAAGACTAAAAATGATTTATTTGATAACAAAAAAATAAAATTTATATATACAAATAGCTTCTTGATATTAACGACAAATGAGCCAGTTCTGCCCACAATTTGAAAGTAACTAACTGAAAACACAAATACACATAAAAACTCTGAGTAACTGCCAAGTTTTATTGCCTTAAAGTCTTCGACTATGCCGCAAGAATCTCGCCAATTTGTTAGCTAAAGGGGGAGCGGCCTCAAGTTAGAACAATTTCATAACCGTCTCGGGTATCACGAAAGGAAAAACATAGTGAATTGCATAATGGCCAATGGTTGTGGCAAAACCAAACTGGACTTAATTATAATCATAAATTGGTCGTGGCCGTTGCTGTGATCTTTGACATGCTCTTGCATTGGATTTGATTGAGCGCTGTGGCTCCATAGAGATCGACCTGGTATAGTTAAATATACAAACGGTTAAGTACACACAAACATAATAACAAATATATGAATGTATGTGTGTGTATATATAATAATGCCTCAGCGTGCTATTGAGTGGGTTTGGCTTTAATGAAAGTTGCTCGGCCTGGCTTGTGACTTGGCATGACCCTGGGCAACACGGCAAACAACAGACATTTTCAGGAATTGTTCGAAGAGCTTTGTGCGGTTTTTTATGGTTTTAAATAAAGCGATGTATGTATATTTGTATATGTGTATTATATGTTTGTGGTTTATGTATAACTCTCATGCACACTCAACGTAATTCTACCTACACTTATATACCTATGCAGAAATATATATTCGTATATGTATGTTTAGACTTATATGCAGAGAAAATGAAACGCAAAAATTTGCATGCAAGACAAAGAGGAGCAAAGCAAATGAAACGGACACGAATTGCATGAATGAATAAATCCCAAAAGAGGCCGCCTTCAGTAAGAGACTCAAAGAGAGAGAGAGAGAGAGAGAGAGAGAGAGGGAGAGCGAGCAAGTTTCGGCTGTGTTCCCTTGGGGTGTACCTTCATTGGCAGCGGCAGGTGTTGGCCGGCTGTTTCGAGCTGTTCGACTGATTCTTTCTGTGCATGATTTATACCCTTTTTTTTTTACCAAAAGGCATTTCAATTTTCTGGGGAAACGCGTGACACATCCAGGAAGATGCCACTAAGCATATTTATGTACTTGATTAATAGCTTATAGCGGAAGTTAGATTGTCATGTATTTGTGCCCAAAATGTGTATATTCTGTATTCGAATATATATAATTTGCGAACTGATATATAAATATTATAAATATCTATAGTTTTTCAAAAGCTATAGAAACTGATTTGATATAATAGAGACAATTATTATCTAAAATACTTGAAACTATATTCCTTAAATATGCTAATCAAACATGCTTAAATATGCTACAAAAATCTACTATATCAGTGTCATTTAAGATCGATAGAAACCTTATTTTAGTGTAATATAAAAATGATCCCATTTATATGTAGCTTCATATAGATATTTAAGTATATATAAATTCCATATGGAGCAATCTCAATGCCCTAAGGGCATCTAATCTGCGGCGCGTCAAGGCAAACAATTTTTGCATCTTAAAAGATTTTTTTCGAGAGATTTTGTTTTGTTTTGTGCATATCTCGCGCTTATCTGGCGCTGTTGCTCGCACGCTTGTATCTTAAGCTGCGCCAGTTCAGATAACATCAACAACAACAACAACAAGAGAATAACAAAGAGTTGAGTGAATAAAAAACACCGAAATTGAAGTGTTTCGGTGGCGGCTGCTGTGCAAATACTGCCTAGATAGATACTTGGCGAGGTTGCCTTGAAACGAATACAAAAATGAGCAAATAACAATTTTTTTTTTTCTTTTTTCTTATTATTTGACTGATGCGTTTGTTTGCACAAGTGCAATATATTTGGTTCCTTGCCCTTCGGCAATCGTTTGGAGCGCTATTAGGAAGTCGAAACTTCAAACTCTTCGATTTCGTTACGTTTTGGAATTGAATTGAGCTTGATAAATTTGTATCGGCTTTATCGAGCTACAGCGCGTTCAGGCAGCTTCTGTTGCGCCTCCTTTTCAGGTGTTGTACGTCTTTTGGGCCGGCTGCTTCACAGTTTGCTCACAGATTCGACTCGGCCAGAGCCAGAGCCCTACCAACTTTTCTTCTCTTGCCAGTTTCTGCTGTAGTTGTTGTTGTTGTTGCTGTTGTTGTTGCTGTTCCCGAGTTCTGCTTGGCGCATGCGCCGCTGAAAACAGGTTTTAACAGTTTTTCATGTGCCTGTATATAAGCTGGTCGGGAGCGATATTTGTATTTTTGCGCTCTGTAGCCACAAAAACCAAATATACAACAACAACAAAAATAAGAACTTTGCATTACACCAATTCGACGACGACAATAATAGACAATCAAAAGTTTATTTAATTTCAGCTCTTTGGACTAGTTAACAATTCACAATTTGTTTATATTTTGTCAGCTGATGGTTTTCCATTTCCTATTTACATATATCAATTTCTTGATATTTTCTCAGCTGTTTTTCTTGTCTATTTGGAGCTTATAAATTATGATTTTCTTCATAAATTTTCGTACGCACCTTTTGCGCCTTGTTTGATTTGAATTTGAATTTGTTTCAATTGGTTGATTTGATTTTTCATACACAATTTGTTAAGCACTTTGTATGGATTTCAATTGCATTATTAGTTTCGTTGATTTTGGAGTTGTTGTTGCGGTTTCAAACTTGTTTTTCTATTTCTTTGATTGAAGCGATTTCTTTATTTGCTAACATTGATGCGTTTATTTCTTTTGCCAATTAATTTTCAAAACGCATTCAAAATTTCACTTTGTTGATTTTAGTGCTTGATTTTGTTAAGTTGTTTTTGCATTTCACAAAATGTCCATAAAGCCGAACCAAGTAACCAAGTCTATTGAAAGCAAAACGCGTCGTCTGCCGCCACCGATTGCGACTCCACGAGACACTCGACACTCAAGACTCGAGACACGAGACACAAGACACGATTCCGGTGCTCACGTTAATCAAGCAGCGTTCCGCGTTTGGCTACCAACACGGCCAGCAGTCGTTCAAGAACTGAGCTAAGCACTCGACCACTTGGAAAACCAACTGCAAGACCAGACGCTGCTGAGCCCAGCAAGACGAACGACCGACAACAGCAACAGCAACATCGTCGTCGTCGTCGTCGTCGTCGTCGTCGCCGTCGCCGTCTTCGTCATTGTAATCGTCATTGTTGTGGATCGTGCGCTCTCTCCCTCGAAGACTCAAAGACTCTCTCGCTCTCTCACCTGTAGTCACCTGAGCGCAGCTGTTTGTTGCGTTCCACAACTTGTGGATGTCATTTATTAACCCGTTAAAAATCAAATTAACCGAAAAGAAAGAAACCTAATTAAAAAGTAAAATACAAATATAATGCATGTCTTGATGTTTGTTTTAACAAAGTTTAGTGGCTGAGAAAGTCACTTTGTAGTCAATTATTAATTACGAACTGAAAACCCGTTTGCTTTACAGTAAGTTGTTATATTATATTAAAATATAAATAGAAGCGAGATTCAGAGAACCAATATAACCAAAAAAAATATTATTGGCTTTATTAAAAGGCAATAAAATATTTTAATTAAATTTTAGTAATAATAAATATTAATAATTATATTTTAATTTATAGTTTATGCAGAATTAAGTAATCTCTTTTGTGTCAAATATTGTTTTAAGTAGACTCAAAGTGATTAACTTATCTTCGTTCGTGTTCTTAAGGAAATTAACCTAAAACAAATATAAAACATGCGATAATACAATAATAAAATTGAAATTTATGTTAGCGCCTCTAAGAGCTTTGCTTTGACAACTTTCATTAAGTATTATCTTTGAAAAAAAAAAAGTCTCTTCCGCCTTACTATTCTAAGTATAAAAGTGGAGTACCCAGCTAGTTCGAGCAAATCAATTGTAATACTGAAAGCGTAGCAAAAGCATGGAACATACTCTATACTCCTTTGTAGGGCTGTGCCTGCTGTTCAGCGCAGTTCGTAAGTTACGGAAAATCTAGCTACAATTATCCTGCGTATATTTCACGAGAGACAGTAAATAACAAGAGTGCCTGTTTCTTATATAGTGAATGTAGACTCAGCGTCGCCTTCTGGACGAACTCCTCCACCTGTAAATACACCCAAACCAACGATTGGGACACCCACACTACCGTCGGAAACATCTAATCCACCTATCGGAACACCGACACCCATACCACCACCTCAGACATCTAAACCCCCAGCTGAAACATCCAAACGACCACCTCAGACATCTAAACCACCAGCTGAAACATCCAAAGCACCACCTACTATGACAACATTGACCATACAAACAACCACACATAAGGTAATTATGCTTTGCATTTCCAAAAATAATTCTTAAGATACAACAACACTTGGAGATTTTTGTTGCAGAATAATATTGAGGACAAGAAAATCAATTTGAAGATTGCACATATTTTAGAGATATCTAAAATAGGCCATATTGTTGGCAATACCGAATACGATCAGCAAACGGCGCATCTGCGGCATATAGCCAATCTGGGTCCCGAATCGCTGCAGTTGAAATTGCAAGCATATGACAAATTTGTAAGTTACAATTACTTGCGACTCAAGCTGGAGAGTAATTTGCACAGTCGTATCGCTGTCGTCGAAAGCTATTTGATCCACAAACCATTATCAAAGAAATGCAAAAAAATCTATGGCAAGCAACGAAAAGAATTGATGGCGGCTCTGAATGAGCAGAACTCGCTAAAGTCATACAAACTGAATTTATATAGCAAACCCTGTCGTTCCGATAGTTCGGAGGACTCGCAGCATGAGGACTATTTTGATTGGTGGGATTGGACGCAATGGTTTTCCTTCTTTTCAATATAATTCATTTTTTCTATATAATGGAAAAAACAAAAACAAAAATAATGCAAAATAATAAAAATGCATTTAGCATTTTTTTTTTTTTTTGTAACTTAATAAGTGAAGAAAATATTTGCATGGACTTATATTTTCTTGCATATTATTATTATGTATCACTATTATATCATTATTATTAAATTTTGTATGATTGAATTCTCGATTTATCGAAAATTAACAAAACTACATAAATCTGAAAGTTATTAAATAAAATAAAAATTGTGCTTAAAGAAAGCGTGAAAATAGGTTGATGCCTTGGAAAATATACAATAATAAATAATAAAAAAATAAAGTAATCTACTTCGAAAATGCGGTAAATCAAAGTTGATATGGTTCGTTGGTTACAATGAGACTTCAGTCAGTATAGAGGAGCACATTTTAAGATTTGTCAAGAATGAATGAATGAGTCTTTCAATATGCATTCTATTCATCCTTATTGAATATGGTACGTTCTGGACATGATCAGTGTATATTTAATAAAATCTCGCCATTGTCTTCGCATATATGTATAGTCAAGTCCTATAGCACTGAATCTTACATAATATACAACGGTATCGAAAGCCGATCATGTTCTGGCCCATCAGCATCGACAACAAAATCTTAATACTCTATAACAGGAGGCTACACCCGATTTGATACATCTTATATTAACTCTCCATCTCTTGCTAGTTCATACAGACCAAACCAATGGCCTCTTCTCACTTGCATTAAATTGTGAGAATCACATCGAAGAGCAAAGACTATTGAAGACTATAGAAGTCATTTTACATTCGTTAAACATTTCTTAGAAGTAAATAAGTAGAACAAAAACTAAACAGCAATAAAACATTGCGAACAACAATATCAACAACCCAGTGCGGACCTTCACCTATTATATGATGCCTTGAAAAGTCAATAAATGTCGGCTCATAACTTGGGCTTAGCAGGGACAGCTTATCAGAGAACTGTGAACGCTTTATAAGGCAGCTGTGGCTCAACGTCTGCCAACAGTTGGAAGTCAGAAGTTCGCCGTCATGTCAAGAGTGATCAAAGCACTGGAGCTATCGCTGGTGTTGCTGCTGATGCCAATGCTGATGCAGTGCATCCCAGGAGTGGCAATAAGTCATATGCAGCAGCTGCTGCAGCTGGACAACATACTTACGAACAGGATCAGCAGCGTCTTGCAGCTGTTGAGAAATCAAACTGAAAATAAGGAACTTGTGCAGCAATCTGAACGCCTGGAAATCGCATTGGCTTTGCCCATTTCTCAGCTAGACGAAAAGATTAAGATTTACAACGAGTATCTCGCCTACGATGCGATGCGTGCAAAGCAACAGCAACAACAACCGCAGACAGACTCGGAGGCATCAGGCTACGATCGGGCAGATATCGTAGTCGATATCAGCGATAAGGATAAACTGCGTACCGCAGCGTATAGCGCCTTTGAGAAACGGGTGCTCAAACTACTGAAAAGACTGGACGTCTCCGATGCATTCACGAAGCGCGTCTTCAAAGCCATTTTCAGCGATGAGGAGCAGCTGAAGAAGCTGAAGAAGAAACTCGACAGCCTGGGCGATGACACCGACTCGAGCTGCTCTCTCTGGGACTTCATATTTGGTTTATACTGAACAGAAAAGGAAAAAACAAAATTGGTTGCTTGATGTATTTCTACTGAAATCAAGTTTATATATGTATTTCAATATTGAATTATTTGTTGGCATTAAAGCACTAAATGTTTATGTGAGTCTACACTGTATATAAGTATATAAGCCCATTAAAAATGGAACGTCGTGTGAAGGATCCCATTAAGTACATATTCTTAGCTAGGATCATGATCCTAACTCATGAGCTGAGGCTACTCATTTATATATAGACTTTATATACAATCTTTTACATATAAAAATACGTATAAATAATAATACTTGAAATAGACATCTGCATGTCATTATCATGCTCTGAAAATTCATTTGTTGAAGACAATTTATTGAACAATTAAGTTCTCATAGTAAATTCCCAAATGTAGGCCAAGCGCAATCGCTGCGGTAATTCAGAGCTTTAAATTATATATATATGTGTGTGTATGTATGTATTTTATTTAGAATTTAGATGTATAAGACATATGTACATATATAAATATAAAAGAGTATCAGCTTTTGGGTGTATTCTAGGCGAACACGCCCATGAGAGAATAGTATAAAAATATAATAATATAATTTAAATATATTAATAATTTATTATATTTATGAACATGTAATATTATAGTATTTTTTTACACTAGTCTGAAGAATAGTTCTGTTAATTTCTGCTTGTAATAATTATCGGGTTTTTTTTTTTTTTTTTAGTTCACCTTTAGCTCTACTTGTGCTAACGGTTTTCCTTGATTTCCCATTAAAATCAATGTTAGTATTTTGCTTGTTCAGTCCTGACTCGCCTTGGCGGCTTTAGTAAGTGATTTACATGCGAGCTGCGCCAATTGACAGCTCGTTATGGTGATGAGAGGGCGGCTGATGGCTCACGGCTTTCGGCTCAGGGAACGAGGATCGAGGATCGGGCATCGGATTTGGGGGGATGGGGATTGGGGGATAAGGGCTATGGGCTCATGGCTCAGCGCGCACGTATGTAGCTGCTGCTCGCTGGCAAAACAAATAAAGTGCATTTAAACGTGCCGGCCCCCATCTGCCATGGCAGCATCGACCAATCCACTTAGCCTGTCGCCTGCTGCAGCGGGCCATGGACAGCAGGCAGCGGGCAGCATCGACATCGATCGTAGGGCCGGTCCATCGACCGAACCGGGCCACATTTCACTATCGTGCGCGTTGAAACAAAAAGTGTTGGCGTGCGGCTGCATCCTGGCTCAGCTCTTGCCCAGAGTCCAGCTCAGACTTGGACTGAGACGGAGAGACTCAGACTCAGACTGAGACTGCGACTGCGACTGCAACTGAGAGTCACAGTCACAGAGGCCGCGTCGAGCAGATGCAATCGCCCAGACAGTTGCCCACTCAGCATGGACGTTGCTCTTCTTCTTTCTCTGCTCCTTGTTGTTGTTGTTGTTGCTGTTGTTGCTGTTGCTGCAGTGGCTGTTGCTGTTGTCGTTTATCAGACAATGTCGCGTTTGCAGACAGTTTGAAGTTTAACAAGTTGTCGAACGCAGAGCGCGGGGTTTATTTGTTTTACGTCCTTTTTACGTTTCGCTTTTTTTCTGTTTTTTTGTTGTTTTTTTTTTTTTTTGTATTTAGTTTTTTGTTTTTGTTAGCCGGCTTTATAAATAGCCACAGACTTGAACATTGCAGATTTCTATAATACCTATATCTGTCTAGCTGACTGTGTGTGTGTATGTGTGTGTGTTAGCTCTGATCAAAGGTCAGACAAGGCCTTAGTTTCCGTTTCAGTCCATTTCTTTACGCCGCCTTCTCCACATTCTATTCGCTCTGCCCTCAGGGCATAAATAACAAATATATATTGTATTGTATATATATATATATATGGACATTCATATATATATATTTGTATATTCATGGCAATTATAGACGGTCTCATATCATAATCGGGTCATCATCTTTTTAGGTTTTTATTTTTTTTGGCTTTTCTCTTTCGCTGAGCTGTCGCTGTGGGAGCCTATCGCCAAAGCTGGCGTCAGCAACCAATTTGGCCAAACAAAACGGCTTAAAGCGACTTTCATTGATTGCCATTCGGGTGAGATATGAAATACATATATATATATGTATGTATATATCTATATAAATGCATGATTTGACTGTATTTGCAAAACAAGTCCGCGAATTGGGGTGAGCGACAGCTGTAGGCTTAATTAATCTATTATTATAACTTGAGATTGAAATTAATGTTTTATATCTAATGTCTAAGAGTGTTTGGGGGGATTTTATAAAATTTGTCATATTTACCATGACTCAAGCTAATTTTGCTAAATATTTGTATTAAAATGCAAGCATTGCCTAGATCAAGGGATCGAAGCAAAATGTGTGTAAGGTAGTTCTTGCCCTTATATGCAGTGGCGTAGAGAGGGGGCTCATGTTTTTAGATTCGACAATCAGTTAAAAATTACAGATGTTGTTTTTAATTTTAATTTTTTAACTTTGTATTATTTATTATTTATTTTATTATTATTATTATTATTATTATTATTATTATTATTATTATTATTAT